AGTTCTGGGGTACATGTGCAGAATGTGCAGTTTTGTTACATAGCTATACACATGCCCTGGTGACGTCAACCCATCACCTACATTAGGTATTTCTCCTAATGTTATCCCTCCCCTAGTCCCCCACCCCCTGACAGATCCCAGTGTGTGATGTCCCCCTCCCTGTGTCCATGTGTTCTCATTGTTCAACTCCCACTTATGAGTGAGAACATGCAGTGTTTGGTTTTCTGGTCTTGGGATAGTTTGCTGAGAATGACGGTTTCAAGCTTCATTCACTATGTCCCTGCCGAGGACATAAACTCATCCTTTTTTATGGCTGCATAGTATTCCACGGTGTATATGTGCCCATTTTCTTAATCCAGTCTATCACTGACGGACATTTGGGTTTGTTCCAAGTCTTTGCTGTAGACAAACAAGACATTCTAATCAAGGTAGTTTCTTCTCCAGATCACAGCATTCAGATAACTTCATCTTAGGAGAGTGAAGGCATGGCCACAATCACTCAGAAAGCCTACATGCTGTGAAGCTCATTTCTGGGGAGAATACTGATCCACTGATAAATTCACCCACGTGTTGGAGGAGCAGTGTCCAGACCAAGAAGGACATACCTCTAACGGCAGCGAGAATTCCTCTATCTATAATAGTAGGACAGACTCCTACAAGGTATAGCCACACATTTGACCTGAAGTAAAGGCCAAGCCTGTTGGCAACTAAATACGGTCTTACAGGGAAAGTAAACAATGAGATTCTCTTTCTGGAAGAGTGCATGATCCTAGTTTCCTTCCTCCCCACTTTGGCTGCAGGACAACTCAACTAGTAATATCAATCTTTATCATTCTTAACAGCCTAATATATCAAGGGAGGATTCTAAATTCACTCACCCTGATAGTAAAGGAAAACAAGGTCAATTTGCTTTCTCTGTTTTGAGCAAATAGTAGGCCTGTATATCTACTCTAATGCAAGGAGTGTGTGTGTGCACAGAATTTTTTAAAACATAAAAATATATACATACACATGAGTCCTCTGAAAAACTTTTGCAATATAAAAGATAAGATGCACGCACTACAGAGAAAAATGCCTCAAAATTTTTTCCACCTCATCTCCCCAGTGGGTAAAGTGAGGGATTGATAGATCAAATTTTTAGTAAGATTATTTATTAATTCCCCCAAACTTTAAAAATAAACCAATGTAGATAAACCAAAGCTAGTATTCAACTATTTAGCACTTACATATTTAAATATTACATTAAGAAAGTTATGGGACAGAAATCTTGACAATTCTGGATAAATAACACAAACATAAATCCAGCTTAAACTTGTATATTAATATTTGAATTGCACGGACTCTGGACATAATTTTACCTTTTGTGCATTCATTCAACAAACATATATTGACTGTGTCTTCTGTGTGCTCGGCATTGTTTCAGGCATGGAGAACATGGTAGTGAAGAGATAGAAAAGGGGCTAGAGTGCAGTGAGAAGAAATTAAATAAATGAGTTTTTATAAAATAAGATAATTCTATACAGTGATAAGCTCTATAAAGACAGTATAACACTGTAATGACTTAGAGAGTTATTCTTGGGTTGAGAAAAAGTATCTGCTCTAAATAAGGTATGGAGGGAAGGCTCGACTCTGACACTTTGTGATGCCAGGCAAGACATTTAATCTCGTTCATATTCAATTTCCTTTTCTGTAAGTAAGCAGTAGCTTTTTGTTGGTACTGGGCTAAGCATTGGCATCTGTCATTTTATTTATTTCTCAAAATAACCCTTTGTAGTAAGTACTATCGATATCCACATTGTAGGGATAAGGAAATTGAAGCATTAAAGTTATTAAGTAATTTGCTAAGATAATTCAACCAATGAGTGGTAGGTCCAGAAATCCAATCCAAGCCTATGCAATGGTTATGCCATTACATTATAAGTAATGGAAAAAACAGAAATTACTTTTACACCAACTGAAAAATCATCTAGTTCAAAAACTTCTGTATCTTAGACACTCAACCAGATGCATTCAATATAGAAAACATTGGGGGTTGGGAGGCACCATCTGAAATTGCAGTGCAGTCTATCTACAAGACAAAATTCAGTATTTTTCCGAGGGGCATTTTGTAATTTGCATAGCATATTTTATGTACTATAATAAATATCCACGTCCTATCACGTTTCTTACTGTTAGCGGGAAATCAGTCGCATTATGGTGCTGTATTGGGAGGTTGGGAGGCATATGATAACACGGAGAGAGTATGCTATACAGTGTTCCCTACAATGGCTTATTTTTATCCATCATTGACTCTTGTTCTCACTTCTTAGGATATTTCTATATTACAGTAAAGGACAGAGCAGTAGACAAACTCTCACTTCATAGAGAAAAACTTCCCACCTTGTTCTATAATGCCAACCTTTGTTTCCAAGGTATTCTATTAGCCTAAACCAGCCCATATATCCTATTTGCCACTTTGAAATCAATCACCCTCACATATTCAGGGAAAAAGATTTTTTAAATGAAATAAAAAAAAAAAATCACAGCCAGTCCTGCTGAATCCTGTCTCATATGATCACTACAATGGGAAGGTTACTGACATTGGTTCAGAAATGTTAGCTCCTGTTGCAACCAGGCTTCACCACTGCTTAGCCCATGAACACTGGAGGGCAGCAGGGAGGCCACGTAAACCTCACCAAACAGTTTAGCGGGACACCAGGTGGCAGTGCTTCAGAACTTGGTGCTTTAGTTCTCAACACGTGCAATATGCTAGAGCCTGATTCTCAAAGAAGGAAAATATAATAGAAAGATTTCGATAAACGCTTCACAAGGTGGCGACTTTTGCGTAAAGACGTAGAGGAGTTCAGAAGTACACCATGAAGTCTGGTGGGGGTATAGCATTGCAGGCATAGTGGGCAAAGGCCTTGATATGGAAGCCCGCCTGGAGTGTTTAAGGAATAGTATCTCATCTTTCCCTCTACCCTCTTGTGCTTCATAGCACATTACTGTAGAAGAGACTCACTGATACATTCAGCACTCTTAAATGCTTAGTCGATGATTTCCTCCATCTGTTGATCCTGAGGCAATTTGTGCCTAGATTTGGCATCTTGTCATCCTCACTGAGAAAGCCAATGCTGCTGCTTTAGGACTGTTTGCTTCTCCATAGTCCAAACTTTGCTTTATAGGAGCCCTTTAAGATGTTACACCCTGCTTGACTTTAGTTAGAGATGCTTTTCAAAGTTAGGGAAAGTTGTGTCTCATTTCCCAAATATGAAAAACGGGAACACTAAAACCTATCTCGTAGGGTGTACGATGCTTAAATTAGGTAATGAATTTGAAATGTATAAATAGTGCCTGACATATAGTATGGCCAAGGAATATCAACTTTCTTCTTTCCTGGTAAAACCTGCTTTTCCTTCAGTGTTCCAGTCTGGAGCCTGTTACTGCTTTTTCTTCTTACATCGAACGTGGTTCAGTGATGGGAGTGTTAAAAGAAAAACTTTAGATGAATTAAATTTTACGGAGTTTAATTGAGCAAAGAACGATTAGAGATTCAGGCAGCCCCCCACCAGACCAGAACAGATTCAGAGAGACTCTGGCACTGCCACATGGTCAAAGAATATTTATGGACAGAAAAAGCAAAGTGACTTATAGAAAAAGGAAGTAAGGTACAGAAACAGATGGATTGGTTAAAGCTTGGCATTTGCCTTATTTGAACGTGATTTGAACAGTTGGCCACCTATGGCCAAAACTTAGGGATTTGTAGAGAGTAGACTATAGCCTGTTTACGCATCCTGTTAGGTTACAGGGCACTGTGTATGGAGAAACCTTTCCCCTGAGCTTAAAATAAGTCAGGAGGCAGCTTTAGGCTAAACTTAATTTAACAGAAGTTTCTAGAAAACCTACTTGGCCATCTCTTCCCCTGGGAGTAGTCACTATTTTTCATTATCCTCTCATGGTCATTTCCTCCTGGCTACATTAATACAATTGGGGTGCTGAAGGGGCACAGGAGGATCACTCAGTGGGTTTCATTTTCATTTTCCTAATGAGTTATTATATTAAGTGCTTTTTATGTATGCTTATTACTATTAGATATCATATTTCTGAAGTGTCTTTTCAAGTTTTGGCCATTTGTATTATTTTATCATTGCTTAATGGCTTGTACAAGTTTTTATGTATTCTGCATTTGAATCTTTTTCAGAAATATGTCAATGTAAATATAATTTCCCAATCTGTGCACTCACTTTCCACCTTTAACAATGATTTTTGACAAAGGGTTTAAAAATTAGACTTTTATGTTAATGGGAAGCTAGCTAGAGAAGTTTTTTTTGTTTGTTTTATAAGTACTTTAAAAATACTTTTTCCTCTTTAGCTTCTGTCGATTTTGATGAGAATTCAGCAAGCATTCTTAAAGACATTTCCCAGAACATGATATATCAACTTTCTCTGGCTGCTGGCAAGTTTTGCTTTGTTTTATTCCAGCTAGACATTCTGAATATGGACTTTCCTTCCACATCTGCGGTGCTTCGGGCAAAACCACAGTGGTGGACTTAGAGAATTCCTTACTCAACTTTATGGCATTCTGTGTAGCATTGCTCCTGACCAAGGAGCTTGTTTTACAGAAAGTCAAGTGTACCAGTGAGTAGAGGTGCTTGCTGAAAACAAACAGATTATGAAATGGGTAATGGAAGAGGTAGTTATGGAAACCAGCTACAACCATGAGACCATTTGTGGATAAAAAAGACTATACTGTTATAAACATTTCCTTTCCATTGTGATATGAAAATATTAAAATACATGTTAACCATTTTTTACTCTCCTCCCATTTGTCTATACATAATAGTGAAAGATATGTTAATAAGTTAATCACATATCTTGTTAAATTTCAGAAGCTAAACTACAGGATATCAATTGGAGAGTGTGACTCAGCTAGAAGAGGAAAGACCATTACCCAAAGATGAATAAATAAACTTTGTATTCTCTTTGAGGTAGAGGGTTAGGGTATTTGTGGTTGAGTGAAGAATAGTGGCATCATATTAGCAGGAAACATGCTTTTTAAAATTGTCTTTATTTGAAAGCTAAGTGTTATTAAAAGAGGTCCATACGGATGTCAAGTTTACAAGGTAGGGGTATTGTGGTAACTTCGTACTGTCTCATCGTAACTACCTGGAAATACATTTCTAAGAAAATCCTTCCCTATATTATTCTCTATTAAGTTGAAAAAAATTGTGCAAGACAGGTGCCAGGCTCCAGGAACGGTGACAACTCACACGTGTTGCTACTGATCTGCTAACTCATCTTATTGTTGATTCACAACTCCCCAACTGCCCCTAGGTCTCCTCTTTCAGCTTCTCTTTTTCTTGGGCTAAGCACCCAGGGAACAAGATAGCAAATAACACCATTTCTTCTGAAGGTCACCAACACTATGAGATTGAAGGAGGTAAGAGACAAGTTTTACTTTGTCCTCATGGGTTCCACCTGTCACCACGGGTTCCAAAATGTCTTTACAGATCAGTTTTTGCATGCTCTTGTCCACATTCAACTCTCCTTCCCAAATGTGAGTCTAGCTGACCTAGAGTAAATTCAGGCTCAATACTAGATGCAAAGACAACAGCTTTGCATAGGAGTAAGAGCAGATTATGGCATTGTATCACATAGAAATCTGGCATGCTTATCACGACTTTATTTTACAAATAAAAAACATGCCCAGCCACAGAATTTAACAAGTGAGACTGAATACTTTGGATCAATGGGATAGAAATGTGATATCAGGACAATTCTAGGACACATGATCTAAGAAGTACTATTCTACTTGTGAAGGCAATAGGAATGAATATCCTGATCCTCTTCAGCCTAGTAAATAAAACTCAATGTCAGATTTTGAAAATATTACATTTTATTCCTGTTATAATTTCATAAAAACATAAACAACTAAGTAACTTCTGAGAACCACCAGCTCCAGCAATTGCATGAGGTCTAATCCTTATAATTACTCTTATTCTACATCTTTCATGATGGTTCTGCTTCCCTGATTGTACCCTAAATGACATAAAGCCTAAGAGGAAAGGGCTAAGGAAATGATTTTTATTATGATTCAACATAACTAGACCCAGATTTCTGCTGTGATCATCGTTAAGTGAAACTGCCACTTTAAGTTATTATGTGGAAGTCTTTCCAACTTAGACAACTTTACACATTTTCCGTATGATCTATTTTAAGTAAAAATTTAAGTATTAGAAGAAAGTTGCTCTGAACACCTGTTTCCAAATGAGATAGAAGGAGGTTTTACTTAGAATTAACTCATCTGATCCAGACCACAGATTAAATCCACAGACCACAGTCACTACCCTCTCTTGCCTGAGATCTGCAGGTGTGCATTTCAAATTGGCTCCTGTAGCAAAGGATGCGGAGTAGAGGGTTCTCTTGTCGAGCCCTAGGGTTTTTGTTTTGCTTTTACTATCACTTCAAACACTGTGAGTTCCCAGAGAGCACAGAAGTACGTTGCTGAGTCTTCTAGCTGTAAGGCTGAAATGGTTAAGGCGATGGAGCTAGCTGCTTTCTCGAAGTTGACAGAATAGCGACCATTTCTTGCATTCTGTTCAGAAGAACCCTGGCGAATAAGGAAAATCATCTCTTTGCTGGGAAGTTGCTTGTACCAAAAAAGGTCATATGACCACGAACTTGTTTCATACTGGCAGTTCAGGGTGACTGCTTTCCCCACTGTCATGGATACTGATGACTGGGCTTGAGTAACCTTCTGGGCCACACTGGATCCTGTGGGAAAAAATCAGAAAACACAGCTGATCCTTTGATATAGTGAATATCATAAGAACTAGACTAATTTGGGACCCAGAGACAAACCAAACTAAAATCATAGTATGCTCGGCTTTTTTGAATTTCTCCTTTCCTCTTCAAATCCACGAGAAACACCACGTCTGTCTATAATCCTTCCATCCTTAACATTTTTACCCACGTTTGGAACCATCCATACCAGAGTAGCTGAAGGCCACAAATACGCACAGCAAGCTGGAGAACAGCATGCGGTATGTGGCTCTCTGCACAAATGTGAGTTGTGCTGCCTGACGCTCAAAGTTCAGAACCCACAAGGGCCCTGTGGTGTGCATACGTAGTTCCTGAGTTCTGATGCTATCTCCCCAAACAGGAAATTGAGTCTCATGTTCATAGACTGCATGGCTATGTGCAAATGAGGAAAAATGTCTGGTTCACCCTGAATCTTTACTTTGTTTAGTTGTCTTTCTCTAGTCATTAGGATAGACAGAACCTAGAACACGGACATAAGAAAAGCAATTTGTATTGAGGGTTGTACCTGAGGGGAACTGCAGTTGAACCAGTTGACATACATTGATATTATTCATTCAGCATATATTTACTTTTTACCATCAGAAACGAATTAAATTTAAAAGAAAAATACTCAGATATCTGACTTTCTCTGTGAAGGGCAGTCCTATTCTAAACAATTACTGCATCTCTTTCTTCCTCCTTACTGAGTTCTAGGGCACTAGTTAAGTTCTGTAATAAGTAAAGCTACTTCAAAATCAAATGATAAAAATAAGTCCTTCTTGACTTTCAGAAGCTGCTCAGTTGTTTACGTTTTTATGAAACTATAATAGGAATAAAATGTAATCATTTCAAAATCTGACACTAAGTTTTATTTACTAGACTGAGGAGATTCAGTATATTCAGTCCTGTTGCCTTCACAGGTAGAATTGTACTGCTTAGATCATGTGTCCTAGAATTGTCCTGATATCACATTTTCTATCCCACTGATCCAAAGTACTTAGTCTCACTTGTTACATTCTGTGGCTGGGCATTTTTAAAAATTTTAATGATAAGCATAAGATATTGTTTGTCATGATAAGCAAACAAGATCTCTCTGTGATACAATGCTATAATATACTCCCACAGAATGTGTTATCTGAAGGTTGCAAGAACTTCGTGCATGTCAATACCACAGAAGTTGGTGGTTGAATTTTTTATATTCTATTATGTGATTGTATGGAATTTAGATATTAATCTTCCATGTGATTTCATTGTCTTTTTTAAAATTTTAAATTGAAAATTGTTTATTTTAGAGTTGGGGTCTCTCTCTGCCACCCAGACTGAAGTGCAGTGGCACGGTCATAACTCATTGCAGCCTGGAACTCCTGGGCTCAAGTAATCTTGTCACTTCAGCCTCTCAAATGGCGAGGACTCCAGTTGTGAGCTACCAGGACTGGCTAATTTTTCATTTTATTTTGTAGAGATGGAGTCTCTCTACGTTGCCCAGACTAGTCTCAAACTCCTGGCCTCAAGTGATCTTATCTTGGCTTCCCAAAGTCCTGGGATTTTATGTGTGAACACAGCCCCTAGTTTCACTGTCTTAATGGATGAATTAATATAAAGGGACCAAGAGATAGCTAAGAAAGAAAGTGCAGACAAGGTCTCTAAAACATTTCCAGTTCTTTTATAAAGGTCAAAATAGCATATCACTGAATGGTGCAGGGAAGAGTTTCTCATTGTTTGAGACATCTACTCCTCTGTCCATTTCACCTCTGAGTGCAGACAGGTAGCCATGCTCTGGTTTGCAATTATTTGCACTTAAGTAGATGGAGACTATTAATACCCACAGTAGACTGGGAACCAGTATGATGGCAGGATTTCCCTCCTGTTGAAATAGCCCTGCTCTGTACCCTGACAGTACAGGTGCAGGATCCCGCAGTTCTGTATAGAAGCTGCCTCTGAAATGTGGTTTCTGGGTGGGTCAAGTGTTAATGTGCTGTGATAACCCCTCGGTGGGGAAATTGGTTCTATCTTAAACATTGTTTTGCCCTTTCTTATAACTTAATTAACAAATGACAAAGGATTATATCTGGTAAAGGACATGCATGAAACAATATTGAAGGAATTCTTAAAAGGAGATGAATCATTTAAAATTTCCAAGTTTAGGAAACTGATCTGTGATAAATCTGAGGGGCTTATCTGAAACCAATTTATTATGAATCATGGCTTTGATTGCAAATATTCATTCATGTTTTGATTGTTCACTTGCTATCAACCTGAGTCTATGGTGAAGCTGCTCTCCAATCCTTGGCTTCGACACAGGAGACAAACCAGAAGTCATCACCTCCAGTCCTTCCTACTTACGCATCAAACCAAGGGAATTGGTAACTTCACAATGGCAAAGCATCAGCTCAGACAAATGAGATTAAAAAAAAAAAACTCCCAAGTTCTGTATTTTCTCGAGTTGTGCATTCTAGTGTCAATAGTAGCAGCGAAGGCCTATTATTTCTACTGGAACTCTATGCTTACTTTTATTAGAAGTCCTAGGATGGGAGAATCCATGGGCACTCTGAATTCAAATCTTTAGCCATGCTGTTGTCATGAGTGCATGTGTACTTTTTGGTGCAATTCTATAATTTTTAATAGTTATCAGGAAGACAAAGCCTCTCACAAAATGCTGCTTTATCAGTAAAAATATTCAAAACTATTAATAATATAAATTTTCAAAATAAAAATATTTCCCTCTTTGGACATTGAAAGAATGAAGATTCTTTCCCACTTTATGCTGAAACTTCATCTGATCAAGCAGTCTATGTCAAAGCACCAAATTCCAAAAGCTGTATTTTTGTTGGACTGCCCCATAAAGAAATCCCAATGGGAATAATTGAGTTATTCTACGGCAAACTGTCCTCAGACTCTTCCCGGTTCTTTGTAGAAATCCCCAAACTCACATCTGTAAGAAGCCACAGAATCACTGTTGAGACTCCCAGCTCTTCCCAATTCTTCCTCTCTCTCGTATACTTCACAACAGCCCTCCTCTCATGCTGACCACGAATTCCAGCCTAGGCACTGTATTCTACTTTATTCTTGAATATTTCAGTCCAGTGAAAGCCACTCTAATCAGACATAAATACTATTCCAATTTCTTCTTCGATTTTTCAAACTGCTAGAAAAGGAAGTAAAATAAACTTTGAGAGCCCAGGGAGTTAATGTTCACAAAATGCTGACATTTTGTGGGCACATCTCCCATTGCTAAGAGGTAACTAATTGGATTTTTTTCCCACTTCCTCTTCTTATGTATTGAAAAAGCATGCGTTGTGGTTCAGGGGAAAGAGTCTTGGGTTGTTTATTTCAGGTTGAACATCCTTTTATTCATAAATTAGAGATTTTCTCCAATTGATTTTTTATTGCCATTTATGTGGCCTACCAGAAATACATCTGACAAATTCATAGGTAATGAAGGTGCTATTCTCCATTCTGTGGACTGGTGAAGATAGTAAGAACTGTGGCTGTTGCAAACCATTTAAAAATTATTTTTTAAATTTATGAAATAATTATCATGAGAAAAAGTACAGAAAATTATATAGCAGACACCTTTGTATCCAGCAATGAGAATAAACAGATAAACAGATGATGAATTTTGTTATGTGTTCTAAAAATATTCTCTCTCTCTCTACATTTCAGATTTTCTCAAACATTTCAGACAAAGCTAGAACAATAGTCCTTATTCCTTTTACTCTTTCAAAGATAGTAACCACTCTTGGGAAGATTCCACCCATGTCTTTTAGAATTTAACCCTCACAGGCCGGGCGCTGTGGCTAACGCCTGTAATCCCAGCACTTTGGGAGGCCGAGGTGGGCGAATCACGAGGTCAGGAGATCCAGACCATCCTGACTAACACGGTGAAACCCCGTCTCTACTAAAAATACAAAAAAAAAAAAAAAAAAAAAAAAAAAATTAGCCGGGCGCGGTTGTGGGCCTCTGTAGTCCCAGCTACTCCGGAGGCTGAGACAAGAGAATGGCGTGAATCCGGGAGACAGAACTTGCAGTGAGCCCAGATCGCGCCACTGCACTCCAGCCTGGGCGACAGAGAGAGACTCCGTCTCAAAAAAAAAAAAAAAAAGAATTTAACCACTACAAGTGTGTATTACAAAACAATATACTGCATTATTTTGTATTTTGAGATTTCTTATTAATGGTGCCATGCAGTATGTATCATTCTGCTTTTACATCCAACATTTTATTTGTAAGATTTATCTAAGAAAATATGTATAGAACCACTTCTTTGCTAGTAATAGCTAATACTTCCTTGTATGACAAAACCACTATTTTTTCATTCCACTATTGATTATACTTATTTTTAAAGAGGGTTGCGGTGATCACCCTTGTAAATGCCTCCTAGTTTACATATTGACTAACTTGAATGTGGATATCAGAAATTTGTATTGCTGGGTTATTAGAGATATGCATATTCATAGCCAGTTTAGGCAAATTGTTCTCCTAAGCTATCTGTGTGCTGTTTTTCTTCATCTGGAAAAGTGTAATAGCTTCATCTCCATATATTCCTACCAATATTTAATGTTATCAGACATTTTAGATTTTGCTGATCTAATAGAAATGAAACAATACTTTATTTTAATTTGATTTCCTTGAGTTCTGTGGAAGGTGATGTTTTACATTTTTAGTGGCCATTCCTATTTCTTCTTTTTGAATTGCCTTTTATATCCTTGTCTCTTCTTATTTTGGATGTTTTCTTATTTATTTGTAAGAGTTCCCCATCTAACCTTAATTTCTAAAATTGTATTGGTTATATTATTTACCGGTGCCTCCAGCATGTGTCCTGTTTTTAATTTTGTAGTGGGCGCACCTGCAGGTTAAAAATTTTCCTTGTGTTACTGAATCTTTAGTGATTTTCATTTCCAATTATCAAATAATTTTAATGATTATAAATCTACTTAGTTTTTCTATTTCTTCTAGAGTTACTTTTAGTAGTATATGTTTTTCATTCAAATTATTTCTACTTTTGAAAGTTTTAAAATTTATTGACTTAAATTGTACTTAACTTTTTCTAATTTGTTTTTTAGTTTCTACTTTATCTCCAGACATGTCTCCTTTTTAATCTCTCCTATTATTGTATTTATTAGTCTCCTATTGTGGCCATAAGAAATTACCACAAATTCAGTGGCTTAAAACAACACAAATTTATTATTTGGCAATTCTGAAGGTCATAAATCCAAAATCAGTTTCACTGGGCTAAAATCAAGGTACTAGCGGGTTTGAGTTCCTTCTGGTGGCTATGGGGTATAATCTGTCTTTTTTTTTTTTTTTTTTTTTTGCCTTTTCCAACTTCGAGGCTGTCCTCATTCTCTCATCATATTGCTTTCTTTCATTCTGACTATACTGCCTCCCTTTTATAGAGATGCCTGTGGTTACATTGGGTCTGCCTGGATAACTGAAGCTAAATCTTCTCATTTCAAGGTTCTTGAATTAATCACATATGTAAAGTTCCTTTTGCTATATGTTATTCGGTTAAATTGTATCCCCAGAAAATTCATATGTTGAAGTACTAATCTCTAGAAGCTTAGAATGTGACCTTTTTGGGAAATAGGGTTATTGCCGATGTCATTAGTTAAGTTGAAATGAGTCCTACTGGAGCAGTGTGGGTCCTTAGTCCAATAAGACTGGTGCCCTTATGAAAAGAATGTCACGTGAAGAGACAGAGACACACACAGAGGAAAGACGATGGGAAGAGACACAGGGAGGACACGACCATCTCTAAGCTAAGGGATGCTTGTTACTATTAGATACTCAGAGCGAGGTCTGAAACAAATCTTCCCTAGCGCCCCAGAGGGAGCATGGCTCTGCAACACCTTGATTCTAGACTTTTGGCCACTAGAACCAGGAGACAGTACATTTCTGTTGTTCTAAGCCATCCAGTCCATGGTACTTTGTTACTGCAGCCCTTGAAAACGAATACACCGTGTAAAGCAGCATATTCATAGACTCGGGATTATGACATGGACATCTTTGGGGGCCAGAATTCAGTGTACTGTATTCTTTAACTATTTTCTATTTTCCTTATTATCGACATTACCAAGTATTTAACTTTTTTATTTCTTCAAATTTATTCAGCATTGGATTTTCCCTTCATTGTTTTGTTTTTGTTTCCTATTTGATTAATTTCTGTACTTTATTGTTAATTGAAGTATAATTGATATAGTGAAATAAATGAGTCATAAGCATGGAGTTAGATGAGTTTTGAAAATTGCAAACAGCCTTGTCAACCACAACCCTGTCATGAAATAGAACATTTCTTTTCCTTTATCTTATGAAAATTCATTGTGCTCCACCCAAATAATTCCCACTCACAGATGTCATCACTGTTTGGCTTTATTTCACCATGGATTAATTTGTTTACTTTAGAAATTCACATAACTTGAGTCAAACAGTATGTCCCCTTTTGTATTTGGCAATTTTGCTAGACATTATGTAATTTAGGCTTGTTTGTACTGTTGCGTGTATCAGTGGTTCAGGGCATTTTATTTCTGATGAATATTGAATGTGTGTGACACAATGTATTGATGTAGTCTCTTGTTTATGGACATTTTCACAAATTTATGGCTACTATGAATAAAACTGCTGTGAACATTCTTGTACAAGTCTTTGTGTTGACATGTTTTTATTTTTCTTGGGTAAATGCCTAGATGTAATGTCACTGGGTAGTGGTAGAAATGCTTGTAGTTTTATGAAAATCCACCAAAGTGGTTGCCCAGTTTATGTTCCAACCATGTTTCAAAATTTCACATTCCAAAATTTTATATTCCAAAAATTTATAAATGTTTATTAAAAATCTTTTTTCCTCATCCTTACTTTTTATTTTGAAATAATTTTAGACTCACATAGAAGCTACAAAAATAATGCAGAGTTCTCTTGAACATTTCACCCAGCTTTCTCTAATGATAACATTTTACATAATCATAGTTACTTACCATTAACATTATGTACTAGTATCAAAACCAGAAAATTGATATTGATACAAGTATTTATTAAACTACAGATCTTATTCTGATTCACCTATTTTTATATGCACTCTTTTTTTGATATATACTTTTATGACATTTTATCATATGTATGGATTTCCCTAACCACAACTACAATCAGGATATAGAACTATTCCATCCATCACCCTAAACAAACTCCCTGTATATTACACACTCCCTACTCATAACTCCTGGCAACCACTGTCCTGTAATTTTTACATATTGATAGTGTTATATAAGTGAAATCACACATTTTATCACCTTTGAGATTGACTTTTGTTCACTCAACATAATGCCCTTGAGATTCGTCGAAGTTGTTGCATGCATCAATAGTTCATGCGTGTTTATTGATGAATAATATTCCATTATGTGGATATGTACCAAAGTATATTTAACCATTCACTCAATGAAGCAGAAACTTTCTGAGATCCATCATGTGTTACCCATATCACTAGCTTATTGCATTTTATTGCTCTGCAGTATTCCATTATAGGAATATACCACAATTTATTCTTCTATTCCCCAGTTAATGGACATTTGGATTGTTTCCAGCTTGGGGCTATTATGATTAAAACTGCTGTAAACGGAAGTCCTCGTGTGAAGATATATTTTCATTTATTGTAGATAAATACTTAGGAGTGGGATTTCTGGTCCTATGTTAAGAGCAATTTATAAGAAACTGCCGAATGATTTTCCAATGTCATAATACTGGTTTGCATCCCATCAGCAAGGCATAAAGTCCCAGTTGCCCCACAACTGGTTGGATGCTTATAACAATTTCAAATACTTTAACTATAATAAAAAGTTTGTTAGAGATGGTCATTTATTAAGCTTAGTTTCTTTTATTTAATCACCATTCTCATACTGCCACACTAGTGTTTATATATTTATTTATCACTTGCATATGCAGATGAAAACCAGTCTACATCTCTGCCCACGGAAGCTTCCACTGAGGGGTTGGCTGGAGCCTCAACTGCAGGTTTGGGTACAGACTTCAGGTGCCTGGGGAGGACTGTGTGCTTGCTGCACAGAAGTAGGTGGCTGAGTCTCCAGGCTGGGAATCCATGATATGCAATGAGAAGTTCTTGGCATTTTTATTGAAGAAGATTTTGAATCTTCCTTCTTCTTTTTCGCTCGCAGCTGAACGTATGGCTATCAATAATGCAGGGCCTTTCCCAGGGAATTGTCGGTACCATGGAAAGTAGTCAAATGCACTGTTCTCATAAGCACAGTTTATAATTGAAATCCCTCCTTTCTGGACTATCAAAGATTGAGGACTTTGTTTCACCTGCTGCCGGTCACTTTCCTCCTTCTGTTGGCCACTCACCCCTGCTTAGAGAGATAACAAAATGTCATTAGGCCCCCCAAATAATATTTTCTTCTTAAAGTGTCTACCTGCCTGAGTTTGTCTGTACCCCAATTTTCTCATCCACCCAAGTTAGTAACATACCCTGGAGTTTCTCTTCCATAACTCACAGCATAGTTGAAGCCACAGAATTAAAAATGATGCTCCTAAGATCTTGTCCATTCCTCCTGGCACCAGAGCTCAGTGACAGCCCAGGTGGTCTTCCAGTCTTCCCAACCAGCTGAAACTCTGTAAATTCACCCTCAACTGAATTCTTTCAACAGGCCCCGCCCTTTCACAAGTGCTTTCACTTAAAGCTATCTCTGTGAAAGGAAGCACTTCCCCCACTTTGTCCAAATTTAGAATTGCTGAAGATATATTCTTTGGGAATCAGTAATCCTTTCTTTACACACAGATAAGTATCAGTTTAGAATTTCTGTCTCTCGAGCCCCCTCAACTTTTCCTCAGACCTTTAAGATGGCTGGATATGTCAATAGAAAGGGCCTTACTTTACAATGGTGGAAGAGAGGAACTCCTGTGAAACCACAAGATTAACATGTACAGTAGCACTTCTTTTTTATTGTGAATAATAATAAAGTGTATTGAGGGCACACAATGAACATAATATCCCATTACAAGCTAAGGTCATGAATCAGAACATAGAGAATATATGGTCCCTTTGTCCTCAGAGAACTTAAATTTTATTACAATTTTTCAGATGTATTTATTCCATATTTTAGATGATCCTCAGAAATGATATAAGTAAGTCAATTTTATTTTTCTCCATATTTTTTCTAAATAGATTAGGTAAATTAAATAGTTTTTAATGTAACTAGAAAAAGAAATTAGGAAATAGTGGAATAATCTGTTCTGGAGGAGCTGTGACCTTTAAATGGATAAGGGAGGATAGAAATTCTGCAGAATACAGAAGAAATAGAGCTATAACAATCCAGTAATGCAGTCATTTTTGGTGGCTTTTATCCTGAGTTTGAATAAACATTTGATATTTTCTTCACACTTCAAAATGGGTCAACTATGAAAATACAAAGGATAAATTCAACTTTTGATGTTAACACAAGCAGGATACACAGGCAGAAATTGAAGATAAATTCTAAAGCAGCCCTAAAATAGGAATGATCTGTATTATAAATCATATAAGTCAAAATAACACGAGAAGCAAATTTTTTTCAGAAACACAAAAATGATTTTTTTCTATTTATATTTGGTGTCACCTCAAATCCACTCAAAGAAAACACCATCCCAGTCCAATAGGAGATGATGGTCCACGTTCCTCAATCTAGAATCCAAACTTTTCTTCCCAAATACCCTAACGTGCTTTTTAAAAGTTGTTTAAAGTTTTGTTGTGCTTTCTTTTCTTTTAATTTATAGATGAATACCTTCAATACATATATACTGTATACTAAGTGCCTACTAAATTAGGCAGTACTTGGGCCTCATTTCATTCACAAAAGAGACATAGTCCAAGTCTTCAGTCAACCTAGTCCCAAGACTCAGGTATCAGCCAATGAAACCTGCCAAAGATACCAGTGTGTTTAGATGATGTGATGAAGGAAAGAGTGATGAAATCTGTTTCTGGACCCAGTCAAAGAAGGGTACGGATGGCGAGATGCTTGAACTGGGCCTCAAACCATGATAGATTTCCCCATAAAAAGAATGGATAAGGGAATTTTAGGCACAGATTAGTGTGGCTGGATATTGGGCTATATGTGGGTGAAAACATTGTAAAGTTATACTAGAGAAGTTAATGTGGGCTTGAAGGATCACATGTATAATTCAAAAAAGTGTTGACTTCCAAAGTAATGTTTTCCACTCTGTTACAGTGGAATAAATACAGATACTAGTTAATTAGATGAATGGATAAATGCATAGAGGCATTGAATGAAACAGACATGTGAATTGAAACAGAGCAGGAGATAATTTACCAGATTTTAAAAGGATAATCTCTGGCTACTTGCTGAATTTGTGTATTTGGACAAATGTTAATCTTCTTTGAAGAAGCATTGCCCCCTTGTGGCCTTATAGGGAGTTTACATCAAACAATTTCCCAAAGCTTCTTAAAACTGTTCAGCAACCCCTGCATCTATCAGAACACTGAAATAAGTGGCTGAGTCTTCCTCTTAAGCCAATGATTAAGAGCCATCATTTCTTCAGATGAAAGGAGATTTTGTCCTTGCTGAGGTCAGGTATGTCTCAGGCGGATCTGGAGGAATTGATTGGGATGCTGGAGGTACCAGGAGAGAACAGGGCTACTGAAACAGTGACACCGCAACTGCTCTGGGGTTCCTTCAGAGGCAGAAATTGGCCGTCAGATAGAGTCACTACATGGGATCTCCTTCCTCGCATAATGACAACATCAGATCAGGCAGAAGTCTTCACACTAAAGAGAATACGTCCTTAAATAGATCTAACTTAGTTAATTATACTTCATCTTTGTCAACACTTGGTATAGTAGTCATCTTTTCATTTGTAGCCAACACAGTGGCTATATAGGAGCATATATATATATACTATATATAGTGGCTATATATCTTATTACTGTATTAACTTGCACTTCCCTGATTATTAATGACATAAGAGTCAGTAAACTTTTTCTATAAAGGGTTGATTAGAAAATATTTTAAACCTTGCAGGTGGTTCAGTCTCAATGGCAACTACTCAGTTCTGCCATCGCAGCATGAAAGAAGCCATTAGTAACACTGGTAACACATTAAAAAAAAAAAAAAACTCAAGCATCGCTGTGTTTAAATAAAGCTTTATGAAAGTAGGTGGATGGCTGAATTTGGCTCATGGGCCATATTTTGTTGACTCCTGATATACAGCATCTTTTCATGTGCTTTTTGGTCATTTTTATCTTTTTGTTGTGAAGAGTCTGGGAAAATATTTTGCTAATTCTTAACTTGGGTCCTTTCTTCTCTTTTATTGAGTTGTAAGAGCTTTTTGCATATGCTGTACACAAGACTTGGGAATAATTTACATGTTTCAAATAGTTTCTTTAAGTCAATGGCCTGTCTTTTTGTTTTCTTAATGATGTCCATGACCTCTGCACTGAAAAGTCCAAAAACAGTAGTGACAAAAATTAAAGAACCTTAATAAATGAATAGATATGTCATGTTCATGAATTAGAGGATTTAATAGCTTTAAGATGGCAGTTCTACCCCCAATTTTCTATAAGTGCAATGCAATATCGCTAAAAATTTTAGCAGGCCTTTTTATAGAAATTGACCAGCTAATTCTAAAATTTATATGGAAATGCAAAAATAACCCTTAATGAATAACTAAAACAATTTTTAAAGGGAACACAATTGAAGGACTCACCCTACCTGATTTCAAGACATTATAAACAACAGTAATCAAAACAGTTTGGTATTTGTGAAAATAAAACTTGTAGATCAATGAACCAAAATAGAAATAGATTCACGAATTCATATTCAATTAATTTTCAAACAAGATACCAAGACAATTCAATGGGTTTAAAAAGTGTTTTCAAGAAATAGTTGCCATAAAATAAGATGTGCTTGTATTTTAATGGATTTGGGCAAAGTAAATTGAAGAAATTCTGGAAAGGATTCATACTCTAGATGCCATTTAGAATATTCATGATGCGCAAGAGGAGATCAAAATATCAATGTTGTCAGAATTTGGAAGAAGATGATTCCAACCCAAATGGATGACTTCAAGAAGTTCAAGACTTTAGTGGAGAAAGTAACTGCAGATGTGTTAAAAATAGCAAGATAAGTAGAATTAGAAGTAGAGTCTGAAGATGTAACTGAATTGCTGCAATCTCATGATAAAACTTTAACAAACGATAAATTGTTTTTTATGGATAAGCACAGAAATTGCTTTCTTGAGATGGAATCTACTTCTGATGAATATGCTGTAAACATTATTGAAATGACAACAAAGGATTTAGATTATTACATAAACTTAGTTGATAAAGCAGCGTCAGGTTTTGAGATGATTAACTTTAATTTTGTTTTTTAAAAAATTTTTCTTAGTAGTTTTAAAAAGATTTTGAAATTAGACTGGGCGCGGTGGCTTACACCCGTAATCCCAGCATTTTGGGAGGCTGAGGTGGGCGGGTCACTTGAGGTCTGGAGTTTGAGACCAGCCTGACCAACATGGAGAAACCCCGTCTCTATTAAAAATACAAAATTAACTGGGTGTGGTGGCGCATGCCTGTAAACTCAGCTACTCGGGGGCTTGAGGCAGGAGAATCGCTTGAACCCGGGAGGCTGAGGCTGTACTTGAACCAAGGAGGCAGAGGCTGCGGTGAGCAGAGATTGTGCCATTGTACTCCAGCCTGGGCAACAAGAACGAAACTCCATCTCAAAAAGGAAAAAAAAAAGATTTTGAAATTAATTCATTATAGTTGTATGTATTTGGGGGCATTTGCGATATTTGATACATGTATACAATGTGTAATGATCAAATCAGGGTTATTGGGATATCCACTATTTGAAATATTTTTCTTTTCTTTGTTTTGGGGAACACTGCAATTCTCTTCTTCTAGTTATTTTGAAATATACAGTAAATTATTGTTAGCCATAATTTCCCTCCTGTACTATCAAATAGTGGAATTTGTTTCTTCTAACTGTATTTTTGTAACCATTAACCTCCTTCTGTTTATCCTGACTCCAATTTTGAGAAAAGTTCTACTTTGAGTAAAATGCTATCAAACAGTGTTGCATGCTACAGGGAAATCTTTCATGAGAGTAAGAGTCAATTGACGTGGCAAACTTCATTTTTGTCTTATCGTAAGAAATTGCCACAACCATTTCAACTTCTAGCAACCACCACCCTGATCAGCCACCAATATTGAGGCAAGACCCTACATTTGCAAAACAAGTAACAACTTTCTGAAGCCTCAGATGATAATTAGCATTTGTTAGCAATAAAATATGTATGTACATTTTTATACATAATGCTATTGCATATTTAACAGACTGCAGTATACTTTAAACCTTTATGTGTGCCAGGAAACTTTTAAAAATGTATGCCTTACTTTATTGTGATATTCACTTTATTATGGTGATCTGGAACCCTACCCACGTTATCTCCAAGGTATATATCTCTGTGTGTGTGTGTGTGTGTGTGTGTATCTTAAAAACCAGAACAGACTAGAAAACCAGTCTGAAAAGGAAGGTAAAAAGAATGAGAGGGTAAACAAAAGGTAAATTTATAAAATGAAATTATTGGATTGCTTTACTAATCTACAGTGAAAAAAACTAGATCTGAATTATTTTTCTAAATAAAAGAGTAATACAATTACATTTTGAATGGAGATATAGGTCAATTGTTGGCATTGTCAGAACATTATGCCATTACTCTAAAATATACAGCATCTGCAGAAACTCTTTTGCCTACAAATGTTTGGCTTGAAATTGGCAGATCTATTCAGGATAAGCATGTGCAT